TCGGCAGCTTTACAGCTTACGGTAAAGCTGTCGAAGATGCGGTGGATAAATTTACGCCAGAGACTGCATATTGACTACAGTCTTTGTCGAATTGAACCGCTCTGCTGAGGAATATAAGCATATACGAAATCATCTGATGGGGCACATGCAGAGTTGTCTTAAAGTTCTTCCAGTTCAGCGTTGTCGACACTGAACCTCAGGCTTCCATGGAGCACTAACAACTGGATCGATTTTAACAACCGATGAACTGGTCACGTGTTGCCAACATCTCAATTTGGGGCGACAACTAGTGTACTAACTATGGCAGAACTTGAGCTGGCAGTAATAAAAAGTATTGCCCGTGAAGTACTAGCATTTCCCCCCCCCCTCCTCCCTCCAACTATTGAACCAGGACATGTACAGCTAAAAGAGTACTACCTTTGAATCTCCAGATTTAAAAAAGGAATTATGTATCAATTTACATTAATTACATTACATTACATACTTAATTACATTAATTAAGTGTTTGGCTCAAGCCTTTCGCGCTTGAGCCATCCAATGGATGGCTCAAGCGCGAAAAGTTTCGTACCTTTTCTTGGCAAGATCTGTTCTGTAATATCAGGTCCTGCCGATGTTCTTTTCCTACCGGAAGGTAGAACACTCTGGAGACTTCCAGTTTCCAAAAGTTTTATTCTCCACCTGTTAATTTGTCTCACAGATGGTGGTTCTCTTCCATATTCTCTTCTGAATCGGCGATGACTCTCAGAATCATTCCCGTATGTTATAGCCCAGGCTGCACGTCTAACTTTATCTTCTGAATTTCATCATGCATTTGTATAGTCAAGGGCTTCCTGTGAAAGGCAAAGAAAATCCAATGTAATTCGCATGAAAATTAAAAAAGTTATGTAAGTTCAAACGTTGGACAACATTTTTGGACACCCTGTACTGCACCAGTACTGAACGCTATCAAGGTCATACGTGGAGGATAATTGAGTCTCGGTCTGCCGTTTTTTCATGACAAGGCACCGCCCCGCACCTCACGCGTTACCATGGATGCAATCAATGAATGTTGCTTTTCAGCAGGTGCCGCACCCACCTTATTCCTTATTCCCTAGACCTTGTCCCTTCTGACTTCAATCTGCTCTGCCATTTGAATATACCTCAGAGGAACCGGATTTCATGCCGATAATGATAGAATATGAGTTGTTTTCGAGTTCGAGTTTCGGTTCCTCGTGCGGGACATCGCCAGGTTCTGGTAGGGCATTTAAGCCTTGCAGCATTACTGGTACATACTGGTTATGTAGTCCCTTTGATATCAGGGAGAACTTCGTAAAAAAAAAAAGTGTTAAAGTTGTTGGTCGACATAACTTCGTCATGGTCGTGTGAAAAGAGAAACAGATGTATGATGAAAGAAATCAGGAAGGGTTAAAATTCAGCGATGAAAGTTAAAAGTTTCACAAGGAAGCCATCAAGGTGGTATTCACTGGAAAGCTTCCAACCAGATTGAGAGACTCGGCGGTATGAAGGTCCCCAGCATGGAAACAGAATGGTAATGTGGCGGTGTACACGTTTAATTTAGTTCCATAAATAGACGTTGTTATCGCTACCAGGCCCTGTGGGGTACTTTTGATACCCCATACATTTTTTGCAATATTTCAGTGTAACCTTTTCCCTCGTGCTTCATCTCCTGTAAGATCCTAAAAAAAAAAAAAACAAGTCAATGGACACTGCATAAATATTGCAGTCAGAGGTTTGAAACTCTGAAATAAACTGGGGTAGCTCGGAATGTTGCAATGGCATTTCTCCAACTCTCTTGGGTATGAAGGCCATTCTTCGAGCCACTGAAAACCCTAGGTTTGATACTGCTTCTCATTATAACCCCCGAATTTCTATGACTACGGAAAGGGCTGCTATATGTAACCTTCCCAGTTTCAGTCAATTTTCGAGGGCATCAATGCGAACAGCCAATTTCTCACTGTCGCCACCCAGAACTACTACTCCGAGCCTGGTATCGGGAGAGGACGTCTCCTTACCCACTCCTTACCAATCTAAACAAGTGTGCGATTCGTCACCATATGTCGTAATCAACTCTGTGGAACGACGCTATTTTGGCAAGCTTGCATCTACTTTCCCTTCCCCTCCATCTCTGACTTACAGGAACAAAAACCTCATTTTTCGGACAGAGGTCTCATGAGAACGATCTCATGAAGTTGATTTCATGGGGAATTCGCAGAGAGGCGCCACTTGTCTCGTTGTGACCCAATAGTCACGAAAGGTCTCATGGGACTCCGCTTGCAAGGTCCCGCGAAACCTTAACAGGTTGACCGCCACGAGGCGCACCGGTGCGCCTCACTGAATGGGAAAATCAATAGGCCCGCATATACTGTGGAGGTCAACGTGTTAAAAGACTTTAAGTCACGCAAGTGTCATTTATTCCATCCTGTAGGCCAGAATTGTCTGGAGTCTCCCTGAACTGGGCTATCTCTTCGGACAAGTGTTTTTAGAAAATCTATTATATTTCATCATGTTCTATGTAAAAATACAAATGCATTCAACTTGGTGAACACAGGAGAGATGCTCCAGCGAGATCAGGGGGATACTCATCAGAGCGGCTATATAGTCGCATCTCGCGTCATTTGTGCACTGCAGAAAAAACCTCATGAGATCCTTATGAGGTTTTCGAACAAGAGGTCTCATGAGGCCTTGATCCTCGTGAAGACGTTTCAAACCCTCACGAGAAGGTCGTGAGACTTCATTAAGTACTTCTTGAGGATTACATCATGAGGATTTTTCCTCATGAGTTTGTTTGAGGTTTTTTTTTAGCAGGGGAGGGAGAAGTCATTATTCTTTAATTTGCCTTATTTTAGAGGAATGAAGCCAAAATTGAAATTAATTTCTCAACCATTAGATCGACTAAATGGCTGCCATTATCCAATCAGGTGACCTACTAAAAACCAAAGCAATATAAAACGCTTCAGTAATAAGCTGTAAAATTCATGTGGGATCATGTTACTAAAAGCAAAGAAACCAGGCTTCAATGCGTAATACCTGTGAAGAGATTGAAATTGAGATTGAAAATTCAAGATTCAAGATTCAAGATAGTTAGTGATATCAAGAGGCGATTTCGCCCATTTCGATATCACGTGTCGAGGTCGAGCGTTCCTTAATTTTAGGGTAGGCCTAACCCGCTTAAAGCTATATATTTTTGTATTTTTTATTATTTTTTATTTTTTTGTTATTTGACTATCCTAGTTGCTTACTGTCTAGTACCTACG